CCCCTCTCCCTGTTCGCATTGGTGCACATTCTCTCTCTCTCAAACATAAATAAATAAATACATACATACATACATAAAATACATTTATGTAAATAAAAAGACGTTTTAAAGCAGACAGGATGTGGCAGACCTCTGCCACGATGAGGGAAAGACTTGGGGAATCGCAGAGATGCCAGTGATAAGTCCTGATATCTTCGTGCCTCTGAATCAATCCTGGAACTGCCTTTCTCTGTCTTCTTGATGTTTGAGGAAAACAAACCCTTATTTTTCAAGTCACCTGCAGACAGACCTTCCTTCTTTGCCTACATTCCCACGGACGCAGCTGGTTCCATGGGTAAGAGAGCGCGCTGCAAAGTTGGGCTCAGCCATTCGTCTGCTGTGTGACTTGGGAAAGTCCCTTCCCCTCTCTGAGCCCTTGCTTCGTCATGTAAGAATGCAGCGACTACTTGTATTTTGTTTTGTTTAGAACATAGTTTCCGAGGTTTGAGAGAATCAAATCCTTCAGTTGGTGGCACATTCTCACTGTCTTTGTATGATGAGGTCCCTCTTTTGTTTTCTTTCTTTCTTTCTTTAGTCCCTTCGATTCCCATTTCCCACTCCCATCCTTCGCAGAGCAACCATGCTGATGCGTCTAATCTGTAGGTTTTTGTTTGCTTACGTTCTTGCAAAATGGTCACTTACGTGAATTTTTAATTTACATCATGGTATTGTCTTCTAGATCTCATTCTGGTTTTTTTTTTTTCCAATCATGACTGTGTTTTGTGAGACCCATTTCTAGAACTGTGGTCCTCTAATTCTTTGCTCCTAAAAGCAGCAAGGTGCTCAACAGTACACACTTGACCTTCCCCTTTACTGGTGGTGATGCTCACGTGGCTACTTACTCACCAGACCACAGAGAAGGCTGCAGTGAACACTGTCACACCCGTCCCCTCGTGGACCTCTGTCAGAATTCTTTGGCGTTTGTATCCAGGAGTCAAACTGTCGGGTTACAGGGTATGTGTACTTTTTTTTTTTAGGGTATGTGCACATTTAATTTGATTAAATATTTGCAGAATTCCCTTAAGAAGGGCTGACCCAGTGCATACGCTCTCTGGCAGAACACAAGGGTTCCCATGGCCCCACGCTTGCCGACATAGGGCAGTGTCCAGCTTTCTTTGCCAATCTCACTGAAGTAAATCTCATTGTTTCAATTTGCATTTCTCTGGCATTAGTGATTTTGAGCATCTCTTCAAGTGCTCTAAAACCCGGGGAAAGTATAGTATCTACTTCATAAGGCTGTTTTGAGAGGTGAAAGAGATGATGCAGGCAAAGCGTTGAACTCTTCACTCAGTACGCAGTCAGCACTCAATGAATGCAAATCTTTTAAAAAACCAAGGTATCAAAGTTTGACTTAGCTAATTCTCAGTTATTATTATTATTTAAACACTTGGCACGTAAGAGATGCTCAATAAGTGCATTCCCTTCACCCTCCTCTGCAGGACGTCCCGCTCCCCCTCCTCCACGTTGGTGGGGCTGCCCCAGTCCCTTTCCACAGCCTCACCTGTGTTCTCATCACTCGGCCAGTTGAGGTCCTTCTGAGCCTCCTTCTGGCTGAAGAGACTTTTCAGGATGGCGCTGGCAATGGGCAGCATCATGGCGGTGGAGGCCGTATTGCTCAGCCACATGGACAGGAAGGAGGTGGTCACCATCATCCCCAGGATGAGCCTGGGAACAGAGGGAGTTAGAGGCACATCCAGAACGGGGGCCCAGGAGGTCCTCTGGTCCCACTTTGCCACCCCTGGGGAATCCAGCCCACTCGTTTTACAGCCGGGAAGTTAAGGCCCAGAGAGAACAAGCCAGTGACCAAGTGGGGACCAGATTCACTCACCAACCTTATTTCAGGTCTAAGGAAACTGACTCCACACATTTAAGTGAACTGGCCACAGGTACCCAAGGTAAAATAGTCCAAAGATACCCCAACCCTGACATTTTCTCTCCCTTGCTCCCCAGTCCTTGATGGTTTCCATTACAGAATAAAGATCACCTTGGTTTGGCACCAACACTGTCCACCATATCCCCCCAAACCATCTTCCCAGCCTCTTCTCCCACTTTCCCTCTCACTCCTACCAGCCACCTGCTCCGACGCCCCTGAACTCATCCACACACCCCAACAGGCCCTGATCTCCTGCCTGCCTGCCATGCCTTGGCCCCTCCCACCAGTAGGAATCCAAACTCCATGATCTTTTTTCTTTACATTAAATTCTTAGCCCACCTGGATTTATTTAGATGGATAGTATGAAGATCTAAGTAGATTTTTTTTTTTTTTTAAGAATAAGCCAATTATTCCAACCCTCGCCATTTACTGAATAATCCTTTCCTTTCCTACTGACTTAGATTTCTTCTAGAATATGTATCTATTTCTGGACTAGTGTCATGCTGTTTTCATTGTTCTAACTTTATTGTATGTTTGAATAGCAGCCCACCCAGTCTTCAAGGTCAAATGTAACCTGCTCCATGAAGAAGTCTACCCCTTACCTCTCCTTTGGGCTCCCACACCACAGATGCCTCTTGGGTCGGAATTCCACTTTGCATTGGAATCAGTGTTATAGATAGAATCTCTCCCACAGGACTGACCGTCCCTCCAGAGCCTAGCAGAGTGCTTGACACAGAGCCGATACTAGAACTCTAGGAGTTGTGTAGAACCTTCTTCTCCTCAACCACTACCCCCATTGATTTTATCAACCAAAGAGCTCTCAAAGCTATCCATTCTGTTCATCTCCACTGCCACCACCCCAGTCCAAGCTGTCACCATAGCTGCTTCTGGACACCCAGAACAGTCTCCTAACTGGGTTGCGTCCAGAGTCTCACTCCTAATCTGCTCTCCACCTGGCAGCCTAGAGGAATTTTTAAAAAATGCAAATTTGGTCATGTTGTTCCCCAACTTAGAACTCTTCAAAGCAGAGATTCATAACCAGCGGGGCCGTGGATATAATTTAAGATGGAAACGAGAGGGTAAAAAATGCATCTTTATTTGACTAACCTCTAATGGAAATTAAGTATTTCCTTTGGTGATAAACAAAGGCAACAAAGTTCAGTAGTATTAGAAGTGCCCGGGACTCCGTCACCAACTAAGATCACAGATATTTTCAGATCGTGTTATAATAGATGCAAACATCCTGGAATCCCACTGACACTCAAAATGGCCTCAAAATGTAGTTGTTATTAGGCCAGTCGAGGGATCTTACCATTTACCGTAAAGGAGTACATACGGTACCATGTCACAAACTCGTCTGTTTTTAAAAAATTTATTTGGATCACTGCATTTTCTTGTGGTTGTTGTTGTTTTAAATCCTATGTGCTGTGTGATTTATACATTTAAAGATATTATTCTAGCAAGGGATCCTTAAGATGCAACAAATTGCAAAGAAAAAAAAAGATTAAAAGAACAGTGAAACCCTATTTTAAAGGTCATTTAATCTTCTTAGAATGAAAGTTCAAATCCTAGCTAGGGAGCCCAAGGCCCTGCAGGAATGGCCTCTGCCTCCCTATCTCTCTGGGGCCATCTTGCCACCCATTCCCCACACACCTGGGCTATGAAATAGCAAACTGGGATGATAACGACCAGGATTTATCACACTTTAGAGGTCTAAGCTATTATAGTTTCATTTTACAGGCAAAGAGAGAAGTTAAGTCATTTCTCAGAGCAGGAAAGGTGGGGTTCAGCCCCAGCAGTCTGAGTCACCTTACTAAGATGGCCCTCTCTAGAACTACGAGACATGAATCCCTGGCGGCGAGGCCTGGGATAAACATTTGAAATGGCTCCCCAGGGGATTCTTCTGCACTTTTGAGAACTGCCCAAGAGCCTGGCACTGCATCTGGCATACAGATGGGGCTCACAACGTATCCAGGGAATGAATGAGTAAATGGAAGGTGGGACATGATGAGCTTGTGGGCCTGGATGACCAGACCAGGAAGGGTGAGTTTGGGCTCCGAGAGATGCGGTCCTCCTGCCTCCCCACCTTTGGGCTAGACGCATTACGTGGCCTTACCTGGCTGGCTGGACCCCAACGAGCATGAGGACCTTGAGGGCGATCCTTCGGTGCAGATTCCACTCCTCAATGGCACTGGCCATGATCAGCCCGCTGAGGAAGAGGAAGTTGGTGTCCAGGAAGTACTGGGGGCAGACCTTGTTGGAGGGCAGGATGCCCAAGAAGGGGAAGAGGATGATGGGCAGCAGGGCCGTCACCGAGAGGGGCAGGGCCTCTGTGCACCAGTACACAGCCATGAGCAGGATGACAAACAGGCAGCGGCCTTCCTGCAGAGGGTGGGGGGGAGATGCAGCTCAGAAGGGTCAGCGGAGCCCTGGGTGACAGGGGGGAGAAGAGATCCTGGGGCTGCACCCATCAGGGCACGTTCCGCAGGGAAGCTGTGGAGAGGGTGAGTGCCCAAAGCTTTGACCTTGAGCAGATGACATCACCTGTCTGAGCCTCATTTTGCTCAACTATACAATGGGGAAGAAACATGTGTCCATTTTATAGGACTGTTTGAGGATTACATGAAATGCGCCATTGGCTTAGAAGTAGACCCTGACGTGAGCATGAGAGTGAAAATGGTTTGATAGAGGATCCCACAAAGTTCTGGAAGGGCAATAGGGAAGCGAAACGGAAGCCAATACAGACAGTGTATTCATGAGAAGACTATCCCTGTGGGCAGCTGGGGCTCACTCCTGATGGGGGACCCTGGGAGAGGGTGTAGATCATGCTTCAGAGTTGTCCTCCTGGGAGACAAGGAAGCTGGCTTTTTACCTGCCAACTCCTGGCCATCACTGGTTGGAGGCTGCTCCTGGGAGCATTAACTCCCCGCTCTTCCGGGCTGCCCGGCATATAGTGAGAGAACACACTGGTGCAGAGCATCTCAGGTTCAGTAGGAAGCTACTGGCAGATGCAGGATGGTGAGTGCCAATGGAGATGTGGAGAGAGCACCAGCAGCGGCTGCCACCTCCATACACAGCCCTCAACACAATGCCCAACACAGAGCACACGCTCTGTAAATAGTAATAATAATAAGCAAATGTATGGGGCTATTAAGTACCAGGAACTGTGTAATCCTCACAAAATCCCAGAGGAGTGAGTATCCCCATTTTATGGAGTAGGAAGCTGAGATGTAAGGTCACTAGCAAGACAATGATTGTGCAGAACAAGTCAATCTCCCTCCAGAGCCATCGCTCTTAATCAAATAGCCCCCAGCTGTTACCAGCAGAATACTAGAACCTATGACAAGTTGACAATCCAATGTTAAAGATTCAGAACAAAACAGCTCAATGGTTGCCCGGGCTTGGGCAGGAGGTGTGTATGCTGGGGAAGAGGAGCTGCAAAGGAGTTCAAAGGAACGTTTTGGGGTGATGGAATGTTCTAGAAACAAGAGTGCAGCAATGACAATGCCTTCACTTCTGATACATCAGTGTCTCATAGGATCCATCATCAATAGTGTCCTGTTATTATTCACATGGTCACTGAATAAAATTACTCACAGTCCTGACTTTCTTTCTTATGTTCTCTCAAGGCAATGTCCTTGCATGTTCCAGGAAACAGACTATTTCTTGAATTTGATGCTGTCTGGTGCCATTTTATGCTTCTTACTTCTTACTCACAGTAGGTTTGGTTGACTTTATTCAGTGTCCACAGGACATTGAACTGAATTCCATCCTAACAAGCACCATCCTAATAGAACATACCCTCAGCTACACAGTCAGGCATCAGCTACATGCAGACACTAGGACTAGTTAATCCATCTAACAGAGGGGCAAGGGCAGGATCCAAGGGACCAATGGCTTTGGCAACAATCCAAGCAAAGATTACCAGTGACTAGGGTCTGGGGGAGTGGTGGAGGTAGTGAGAAGTGGTCAAATTCGGGGTCTATTTCCAAGGGAGAGCCTGACAGCTTTGCCGAGGATCTGTTAGGATGTGTAAGGCAAAGAGAGCAACCAGGAGGAATTCCAGTTGTTGGCCTCAGCAGGGGGAAGAATGAGGTTGCCATTTACTGAGCCAGGGAAGACTGGGATATACCCAACCCATTTGCATACCTTGAAAACACATCCTGTTTTCTCAGCAACCTGGCTGGGAGTTGAGACCAGGAAAATGAGTGAGACAGTCACTGCCCTTTAGCCAGCAAATCTGACCATGCCAATAATAGGAGGGTCCTCTGTGGCTAGCTCTTCTCAAACTCGAGTGACCCTCGCAGACTCTGCCTACTAAGTCTCCCTCAAGCAGAAGTATATTGGTAAATGTTTAACAACTGGAAAGTTTGTGTGTGTGTGTAGAAATTCTTTTTTTTTTTTTAAGATTTTATTTATTTGTCAGAGAGAGAGAGAGAGAGAGCACAAGCAGGGGGAGGGGGAGTGGGAGAGGGAGAAGCAGGCTCCCTGCCGAGCAGGGAGC